ACACAAATAGTACTTAATATGTATAACCACCAATCCTATTAATTAGATATACATATATGATTAATGTAATAAATATTATACATAAAACGTATAATTAGTTTTTACATTGTAATAATATATAATGTAATGCTATAACATATACTAATTATGAGTTATATATAACTAAACTCAGTATACTACTACATACGTATTAATATATATCAAAAATAAGTAGTATATATAATTTCTTCCTATATCATACTATCCAATTAATATATGAATATAATATATACACACACAAATATATGTATAGTTACTGTATATATACAATATATCCCCCCAATCCCTTGCCCATTGTCGTTGTGGGGTGGCTTGAGAGACGAGGACTGAGACCCAGTGCAGGGACCTCCCCTGCCTTGGGCCTCAGCCCTCGACTCAAATAATTTTGCATGGTCTCTTCTCGCTCTTTTTCTTTCATTTCCATCCTATCACCAACCCCTTCTACAATCCACTTACTAAGGTGTAAAAGCCATGCTAAAAGGATGAAAGGTTGACTTTGTGCCAGTCTTGAAAGGCCTGAGGGGACCATGGGTAAGGTATTCCTCTATTTTGTCTAGCCCATACCCCACAAGGGGACCCTTAAGGGTGGACTATTGCTTTTCCAAACATATTCCAGGTTTCCCATGTACAGTAATGTAGTTCCTTTATTAGAGGCAATACGGCTTGCCCCTTAATCAAATGGCCCCACCAATTCAAACTCTCCCGGCTCCTTGACCCCAGGCTCTCCTTCGACTATGATTCTAAACACTGTTACTACTACCCACCCCTCAATGCCTACTAGTACATTATCTTCCCAAGGTAAGAGTTGATCTCCAGGAGACATTCCTACTCTCCCAACTTCGAAATACTACCCCCCTCAATAATACTCCCTCTTCAACACGTCCCCGTCCTTCTACCACCCCTAGCTACACAAATATCTTAATATTCTATTTAGCCCTGCCAAATGGGGCCGATTTTATGCAGTCCCTCCCATACAGCTCCTTAAAAGTGGGCAGAGTCCCTTTCCGTAACTGACCCGATTGTTCCCGTCTCGTTAGTTACATCTGAAACTGAAGATATTGCTTTATCAAATCTAACTGATCTCCCAGGCAACCCCATTCCTGTAGAACCTCATCCAACCTTTAATACTTATACCAGAAATGTTTTTATCTCCCCAGCAAATGCCCCCCCCCCACACACACACACACATACATATAAATATATATATGTATATGTATATATATATATATATATATATATATATATATATATATATATATATATATATATATATACATATAAATATAATGTATATGTATATATGTATATATTATATGTATATGTATATGTAATGTATATGTATATGTATATGTGTATGTGTATAATGTATTATATGTATAATGTATATGTATATATAAATATATATATGTATATGTATATATATATAGAGAGAGAGAGTGTGTGTTCTTGTTTAATTTGTTTCTTGACCTTTTATGATCTACACACCAATTATTAATGTTGTAGAAAGCTCTTTGAAAAATATAGCTTTTTGTTATCATACCAGACGTGGCTTATATAGTATGAAGAAAAAATATAATTAGAATGAAAGTGCACAATTTCTTTGAAAAAGAACCAGCAATGCAAAAAATATATACTATAGCATTGTCAGTGCACAAACTTAGTATTTTCATACTCTTTTATACAATCATACACAAAAGCATGTCCTTAGTGGTTCCACATGTACATTCATGCAATTTTTATGTTTCTATGTATAAAGTGGAGTTGATTCATATGTGTATTAAGCCTAGTCATTAATCTATAATTTCAATTCATGGTGGATTTCTTTCAGCACACACTTCTATTTGGATATAAAGTAGTGCCAAGCATCATCAAATAGTCATTTACTTTGAGCTATGGATTAGTCTCTCTCTTTCTAACTTCAGCCACAAGGTATAATCAGATAGCACAACAGCTACATTGAGTGTGGTTGTTGAGAGATTCCCACATAAGCTTGTAGATCTCATCTTTGTATATATTCTGATCTATAAGAGGCACTTTTGATTGCTAGGGTAAAGGAAATAGTTTTCATAATTTTCTCTTTAGAATTGATTTGAAAACATAGTTATTCTAACAAATATTTAATGTTAAAAATTATAAGAGAGTCATGCAGAATTCAATAAGCACATCATTTTGGAAGTTCAATTACTGATTGATTTTGGATGAGGAATGTTTTTTTACGGCCGCAGCTGAAGAAACTAGACAGAAATTTTCTTCTGAAGTGGAAGAAAAATATCAAGAGATTTTCCCCTTTTTGTTTTCTTGTTTTTGTGTCACTGTCTCACATTGCATCATTAATTCATTCTAAGATTATAGTATATGATGTGTAAAGTTTATATAAAATTTTGTTTAAAGTAAGATTTGTTTTTCTTTTAAATTCCTTGTCAATTTTTTTTTTTTTCCCCCTTGTTATTAATGTTTACCATTATCATCCCCCAAACTCATGCCTGTTGATATTGTGGAAGGCACAGGACATGCGGACTGACTAAATGTAGGGGATCACCCATACCTTAGGTCTCATCCCCCACCTCAACTAATTTTGCATGGTCTTTTCTCTCCCCTTTTACTTTTCATTCTCTTCATTTCCTTCTTCTGTCCACTTCTTAATGTGTAAGAGCCATGCTGAAAGGATGAAGGGCTGGCTTTGTGTTAGGACACGGTATTCCCTTAGTTAACTGCCTAGCCCTTACCCCATGTGGGGACCCTGAAGAGTAGACCGTTTATTTTCCCTTCTTATTTCATTCACGAAGGCCAATAATGATTATTTACCCTCATTAGGGACATTAAAGCTTGCCCCTTCATCAACTAGCTTATTTGAATTTGGTTTTCCAATCCCTATCTTTCATCTGATCACGGCACAGACCGCTGATACTAATACCACTACCTTGATGATTACCGCAAACTTAATTCATTCCGAATCATACACTCAGGTCATCACTCATACCTCAGAATACATCCCTACTTCTCTCACAAAATCCTCCACTACATTTGCACAATCTTCACTGTCTGCCTCCCTCTTCCCATATTACTACTTCCTCCTTGTTGTCCTCCTCCCCACAGTACTATGTCACTCCACA